ATGAAGAATTTTCAGCATCAAATCAAGTAGATTAACTCGGTACTTTCCACGTGATAACTTATTTTTGGCCAATACATTTCCAAGGCCCCATCAACTTAATCAGTAAATACTAAAAACCTAAAATTTTTTTAATGTCACTGAAGAGCAAATTTTGGAAAAAAATGAGATTAAATATATTCAGTCTATACTATAAATGTATCAGGAAGTCTAAAAATGTAAAAATGTAGTTAAGGGACAATCTGATCCTTGAATGTTTTGATCTTGACTCTGGCGATATTGCAGTGTCTACCTACATCAGTGTTTCCCAATGTCTGCGATAACGCCCTCTTCTGGGCAATGGGAGCCTACGAGTGGCGGTAGGGGGGCAGTAAGTAGTGTAGAGGAAATTGGGGGCTGCAATTACTCATTTGACATGTGACACACCAGGTATATGTAACGTAACTTCGGGGGGCGATAGGAAGTAATTTTAGGTTTCGGATGTCTGTATATCACAGTTGATGTTGTTTGTAGAATAATATAGCCCGAATTCTTTATTTCACAAATGCACCTATCAAACGTCAAATCACTTTTAGGATAAATATTCGTATTGATGCAAGATAGCTAAATGATTTGAGAGATCAATCACACAACGTATCGGCTTCTCCCTATCTACCAGCTACGTGGTGGTACGCGCTACAATAATTATTAAAATGGCGTCAGATTGAGTCAGTCAAACAGGCCCATTTAATAAGTCCATAGACATTCCTTCTCTGCTCCGCCGGTAGTTACAGTCCACCTGGCAACGTTGTCCGTTTCCAAATCTGCGCGGCGTCGCCGCAACGAGTTATCGTTCATTCCGTCTATGGACCGTGTATATGACAAAGAGTGGTTATATCACTGGAACGCCGGAGGGCTTTATTGACCTTGGAAGAAATCTGCATTATAGTAGGGAAGCCCACCTTTTGTTACATCATCGCGAGCTGATATGATACGATAGAAACCAGTCACATTTTAAGTATTTTGATGCTAAACAGTCATCCTTGGCTATCGAAGCGGTGTTGCCAAGCTGCCATAAAATATTTATAAAATGATACATTTAAACTAAGCAGAATGGAGCTCAGCTCTTATCACTTTTTTCAGTGTTTACGTCAGAAAGTCATATGAAACATCTTGTCTCAAGGCCAGGCAGTCTAGATTACCCGCGACCATGTCAAATAGACCGACAATTGGTCGAATAAGCAATTTGGGGTTAGAAAACGTTTGAATTCCAAGCTGGCTTTATTACTAAACTAAATCGTGTAATATTCGGCGTATGCAAAAAATTAAATTTAAACAAAAAATGACTTCACTACAAGCGATGGTTAATGAATTAATCCAAAAAGGATTATCTATCTGGCAACAATGCATTTATTTCCAGTTAGATAAGAACAGCCGTGTTTAGACACCATCAGCTGTTTTTGGAATCATCTATTATCTGTCTATATTTTATTTATATAACTACCCTTTGTATATGTTTTTTGCGCTTCACTATGGATAGATTAGCCCCTACAACCCCAAACCACCGGATTTCAACCCGTTCAAACATTTTTCTGAAAATGTTCAAGATCCTCTGTAACGTCAAAAAACAAACTTTGACGACTTTTTACTTTTATCATTTTCGGCTTTTTTCTCCGCGGCCACTGGATCGATTTTCAAAAACTTTTCGTTTTGAAACCTTGTGTGAAATTTTATCAAAACCCGAGAGGTACTTCTCAAGTTACAGACTGGCCAAGGATTGGCGGACAGACAGACCGACGGACCGAGGAATCAACAGATCGACAGATAAACGGACCGACATACAGTCTGCCAGACAAACGGAAATGAGTGACGGTTTTTCGGGTTGTATATGTCATATAACATTAAAAATACATTTTTCGCGATAACATTACGTCCTCGTCCGGTTGCGTAGGAAGTAGAAAAAAAAACTATAAATTTGGCTTCATTTTTCAGTGCTTGCCTTTCAAATATAAATACAACACCATTTTATACTATTCCAGAATGAGCTTGTCGGATTGGTCCACAAACTGGAACATCAAACGAATTTTACTCCAGTGATGCTATTAGTTTTTGACTGATTTCAGTTTCCATCCAGGATTCCATTAATTTTAAACCTCGCTTTAAATTTTCATAGCTAATTCATATCCCCTCATAAATAATGTTGAATGTATAGTTACCCATGGCGGATGATATTTTAGTGCAGGGGATATATGGAGATTTTACGTTGCTCCACATAAAATTAGCATAGCTGTTAAAGATACAACATCCACCGTTAATTGTTTGAAATATTCCTAGGTTTACAACCACCATTGATATTCATGATGTGACGTTATGTTGGAGGGCGAGACTTGATAGGAGCACGTAATGGCGCTAGACCATTAAGAACTGCCTGTGAGTTTATATCCTAACTATAACATTCCAGAATATATACCCAACGTATGTTTTTGACACGGTATATAAAGTAAATATCGAACATTTGCAGTCAGTTCTTTTAATAGCACGAAAGGACCATGCACTAAATGTATGAAAAATGGGTGCTAGTCGATTTTGCCAAAAATTCAGTAAGATGCATTTCTTACCTTCCTCAACAAAAGTTCTAATGGTACCGAAGCAATCGTATGATTGGTTTCTGAGAAATAGAAAGATGAAGTTTGCCGATTTCCAAAAATGGTGAAGGCGTATATGAAATCGATTTTAAAGCTACTCGAAAAAGTGCAGTATGTATCGAATCTAGGAGACCTTAATAAGATAGCTGGTGCTTTAATTATTTGATACTGTCCCCCAACTATTATTTATGGAAGGTGCTAGCGCTTTAGCTGTTGGCACCTGCGGAAGGAATTCACAGACGTTTTAGAAATCCAATAAAGTAAAGACTATGGATACTTTGTCGACAAGCTTATGGAAATTACTAGGTACTACTAGGTTCTACCTGTTGATTATGCAATAATTAGTGAGCAGTATTGTAGATGTAAATTTTGCGTCCAAACACTAGGCACATGTGGAATTTTTTGTCAATGCTCTTTACCAGATCGGAGTTCGTTATATCGTTATCCTTCGAAAAAGTACACCCAAACCGTTCGATATTCTGGCAGCAGACTAAAACAAAGAACTCAAATTAATAGTCAATAGATTACAATACACTTAAGCTATGTTTGCATTCTATCTATATATCTGAATATCTATCTATCATTAGTGCGACTTTTCCTTCTCTTTCGATGTCAAAATCAACATGACCTTGATTTGAAATTGTAAAGCTTATAATCAAAGATAACTTTACAACCACAACGTTTCTGTGCCCCTGTGAAGTGAACTTGAGTGATTCCTTTGAGCTCTCGAACAACTTTCTAAAAGGTTTTTTAATGAAATACCTTCTTCAGCGTAACAGTTTTCTAATCGAACAACTACAATCGGCACGTTCACAAACATAGCAAATCGGACAAAATTTCTCAAAAACTAATCATAATTGCCTTGGTATCATAAGAACTTTTTTGCAGGACAGCGAGAAATATGTGGTGCTCAATTTTTAGGTAAATCGAGTGAGTCCCATTTCCATATGTTGTGTGCGGGGTCCTTTGTCACTCATATCACCGATTGGTCACTTTGTAGCGTGTTAGGCCCGTATCGTCAGTCGTCCCTACAATTGTCGCTTTTATGGCCTCCTTGATTGTCATAGTTCTTTACTTCTCCGTGTCAGAACTCTATTTTGAGGTTATGTCACAAACATCTATTTGCATCAAATTGCTTTTGAGTTATATGATGTTTTATCAGCCTGAAATTTCCTACAATTTAAAAAGAAAACATATCTTCACAATAGGAGAGCGCTGACGCTGACACAGGACAAGTGTAATCTAGAAATTTTTGAAGGAGAGAAAGGACTATGACAATCAAAGAGGCCATAAACGCGCCCTACAATTGTAGGGACGACTGACGATACGGGCCTTAGTAATTGCGTAGTCTCAGCAACCGCTGGAGTGAATTTGATGTAATTTGTGACACACTGTACAATGATATTTTGTGATATTGTTGAAAATGTGCCTATTTGTAATGGAGCTAGCGATAAATACCTAAAAAGACATCGTATTACATATTTTCGATATTTACAATCAGATTTTGGCGTAGTTCGACAATTTTTTGGGGTGGGACTTATTAAAAGAATATATCCCGCAGAAATTTTGTATGTTGTAGATATTTGTATTTTTATTCGCTTGACATTGACAATGTCTCCCATATGTCTCTCAAATATTATATTATGAACGTTTCCTGGCATTAGGTTATTTTTCATTCGTTGAGTTCAGACTGACTGTACGATGATTACTTCTTTAGATATTCTTCAAAAAGGATATTGAAAATGTTCACATATGCTTACCTTAGTTCATAAACACTGAAGGAATGTTTGGCTGATGATATTATGAAGCAATTTCAAAGTCTACCATTGAAATTTTGTTTCCTTTTTTGAAACATGCGGTTTGGCAATGTGAATGTACAACATGTTATACTTACTTAGAATCAGAATTAAAGAACTCCGTGCAAAAGTGCAACATGGCACCTATAAGAAAAATTAAAGCTAATGGTTGAGTACAAGTGACAAAACGTCATACTTAAATCCTAATTACGCTACCAGGTAGAGGAGAAAAAAATGCCGATGTCAATATATCCTAGTCAGGAAAAAACAAAAACGATTTTGGTAGAATTCAGGTTTTTTCGCCTATCCCCGAAATTGGGAAATTTTCTATGTATCATTTTCTTCGTTACCTGAACCTTACCCCCATTTGAGCGACTTCGTATTCCTCATCGTTACCGAAATCTCAATCGCGAATGTCGAACTAGAGAGGCTCATCTTCTAGCCTGCACTTGCATCATTTGCCTAGGTATCTTGATATCATTTTTACTATTACCTTCCCGCTTTGATGTTGGTCCAACGAACGAAAATAGTAATTTACAATAATACCTCACGGAAAAAATACAATGCTAGAAACGTATTTTAGGTGTTTATTGCTTGGCCATTTGAAGGTCGTATAAAAGAAAATGCGGCTCAGTTCTGCAAAGAATTCATCGTAACTGAGGATCTAGGTATACATAATGCACCAGAACCAGCTACAACAGCATCGGTTTACGACTTTACACCAGCACCGATACCCCTTTTGTTACGTAATTGAGAAATATCTATGATCAGATGCCCTATATCCGCCGGTATTATTAAGAAAAGTAAAATTTTTTATTTAGCAGACTGTGCCTTTCTGCATCTCCTTTTACCATTATTCTCAGATTTGAAGCCCCTATTAAGATTACAGATTAAATGAGAGCTCTGAATAGTTGTCGGACTTACTTTTATACTCTTGTGACAATTACATATACAGGGTGGCGCATCGAAAACGAAATAGACGCATTTACTGGCAGCTCAGTTTTTTTTGGAAAAACGCTCAGACCCGTCGATTTTGTTTTCGAGGGGGACACAAGTTTAGCAAAAAATCACATTAACACGTAAAGGTCTCTCAATTCCCTTTATAATGATGTAAAATACATGAGCTTCAGTTCAGTAGTTTTGAAGGTTTATTGATTTAAAGCTTAAAGTAGACTTTAATAGGTACAACAGATTAGTTTGTACTATTTTCAGAAGAAATTTGACTAAAAGACGGTTTGTTTATCATTTTGTTGTTGAAAATAGCTATTGGAGCGTTTTTTTGTGGCAAAAAGTTATTTATCGAAGAAGGATAAGGAAATATCTCGTACTTATTTTAAATAGGAATTTAGTACATTGTTTGCGATTGATTTGACCAAACTTTGTTGCTATAATAACTTGTAATGCTTCATTACATAAACTAACCATGGTATATTCCACAGCAGAAAGAATTGAAATTATCTAAATATTTTTCAGTGAAATCAGTGAAATGTATTTGGAGTTACTGGAAGACGCCATAGATCCTGCATTAACAGCCATAATTGAAAATCAGAGGGGTCGGCGGTACATTGCGAATAGGTTGATGTTCCAGGATGGTGACCCACCACATTACGCATTACGTGTTCGACAATATTTAGATCAGACGTTTCCAGATCGATGGATTGGTAGAAGAGGTGCCATTGAATGGCCCCCAAGATCGCCAGATTTATCACCTTTGGATTTCTTTATGTGGGGTCATTTAAAAAGCAAAATCTATGCTATTCAGCCAACATCATTAGAAGACCTGCGACAAACAATTGTGACTGAGTGAAAAATTACTCCTCAAATATTCCAAAATGTGCGGCAACGTTTTGAGCAAAATCTTTATTATTGCATGGAGAGTCGTGGTGGCCATTTTCAACAATTACTTGCCTAACCTTTCATTTTTAAATTACTTTGCTGCCAAATGTATTGATCTCCACTAATGATGATGTATTAGTTTTAGTTAAGCTTTAAATCAATAAATCTTCAATACTACTGAACTGAAATACCTACATTAATTTTATATCACTATAAAGGGAATTGCAAGACCTTTAAAATAAGGTATCACTCGACCCCCCTTTTCTATTTAGGATTTTGGGGGTGGTGTCACCCCCGCTTAGAGGGCTGCACGTGCTAACGTGATTTTTCGCTAAGCTTGTGTCCCTCTCGAAAAAAATCGACGGGTCTGAGCGTTTTTCCAAAAAAAAACTGAGCTGCCAGTAAACGCGTCTGTTTCGTTTTCGATGCGCCACCCTGTATATTCTTCTTGATCAGTTGTAACAAATCATTAAAATGCTTATGATCTCGTAGACACTGACCATCAACATTTTTAGTGCTTTGCTACTACTTTCCATCCCACAAGACTAGAGGAGGCTTTATTGGTTGAAAAAAATAAATTTGATAAATAATTGTACGTTTTTTGACTGTTGCATGAAACCTGCGGCACTAGCCTGCCTACTTGTCTGTCACATAATCCTTTTCTACCTATTCGATTCGAGTCTTGAAGAAATTTTAACATAATGTTACTATCTTGCCAACGCTTTTAAACGTCCACAAAAAATGCGAGTTTCTTTGAGGTTTATGATTTTTAAGCTTATAAATTGCCGTTTACAAGGCTGACTATTATAAGGTAGTCTCAGAAGTTTCGTAAATATTCGAACTTGGACCTAGAGAAATGTCATTTTTTAAGTTTTTCATATCACTGGTGAAGCATAGAATTTTTGAGCCGAAGAGAGTGTTTTTACAATATGGCGCTAAAGTTCAAGGGGTGATCGTTATATGATCGTTATACAACTATTCTATATAAGATTCTAGATTCTATAAGATTATTTTGTACATTGGCAATGTTTAAAACACTATTTTGTTTTATATACTTAAGCTACCAGACGGGTCCAAAGCCTAAATGAATGTGGGTTCCTTAGGGGAAGGGGGGACGTCACACGGACGCTAGTGGGGGAACACGTCTGCATGTGACATGGTTATTATGGCTTCCCACCTAAGAAGTAAGGCGGGTGGTACCTCCACGCTTGACGGCCTGAGACACTCTACACCCACGGAAAATCACGAATATTGCTGAATAGATTGAGGAGGATCTGGTTGATCTCATCTTACTTTATTTCTATAGGCAGTCGCATAGGCGGTCACCTAAATACAGTATAACCGCGACAGCTACAAGAAGCTTAAGGATACCGAATTTTGAACTGGTAAAGCCTCATCAGGCGGATTGCTCCTCAACCTCAAAACCCTAGGAATAAAGAAGCGGTTGTACTGGGTCTGCCTAGCAGTCTCATTATGCGGTGGTTTCAAGGCGATGAGCTCTGAGAAGCAAATCCAAATTACATCGCTAGAGCGCATCGATCAGTCGGGCAACCCACCTCCGAGCAACATCGATTATGGGCAATTTAGTTGGGGCTGCAGCACCCCGAATATGTGAGCAGTATTCCAAACCGGGTATTATCTGGGCTTTGTAAAAAAATTCATCCTAAATTACTATGAATAGTTATCATTATGTAGGACTCCGGCACGGGTATAACGTATCCTGAAAAGTGAAATTATGTCGATTTTTTGACATTGTATTGGTTTCTTGTGACATTATGTAGGTTTTTCTATTGTACTAGCTGATGGACACTTGTGAACCCGTTTTGTAGTTGTACGTGTAGCCTAAACGTCATCAAGCTTCAGTTATCAATGTTTGGCTCTGATGTGATGTAAAATCTGCGTCAGAGATGGCATTACTTTAGGTCTAAGCTGTAAGTTGTATACTATAGCTAGAAGTAAACCGCAATGCATTCCATTGGATTCTTGTCTGAGATACACTTACTTGAGATTTAAAGCTAGCAATTAGTTGCGCATCCACTTTTTTTTAACCATTCTGAATTTTAAATATGAGAGATGAGAAATAAGTATATTCACCACTGTCGAGCTACAAGTCATATACATGCTAACAGTAATTACACACAACTCAGGCGCGGTGGTGATTTCTCGTGATTCTCAAAGCCTTTGAAAACACAAAAAACGTAAAAAATCGTAATTTGAGCATAATCTGTCTTCAAGAAGGACCACATATAAATAACCCGTCGGGCACAGCTAATAGATATATTTCATTGGCAGCATATTCAGTAATGATTTTCTCACACACCCGATATCACTGATTTTATACACATGCAGGTCAATACACATAATCATCCAGATTCGATCTTGCTATCCAACCAAGTTTCTTCCCAGAGATGGAAACTACAAACTACTCGGCTTCAAAAAACATATGTTACCAACAATGCATGTAGTTGAGTCATTTATCCTTAGATGGAAGCTCACAACGATCCTAGTGAGCAAACGTGGAATAGCTGTTTACACCCTAAAAATTTCCTAGTCT